TGGGGCTCTACCTGGCTGTGTGCATCGGGGGGCTGTTGGGGAACTGTCTCGTCATGTACGTCATCCTCAGGTAAGCTGGGTGTCCCCCTCCCCCAAATTTCCTACAGGTGAGTCCTGGGCAGCTGCAAGGGGCATGGAGAAGGGCCTGCTCTGGGTGGGCCTGGCAGGGGAACTCCGCCCCTCCCCCTTCAGTTCCTGGTCACCCTGTCACTGGGCAGGGTCAGTCCTGAGGCCCTGGGTGCTCAGTTTCTCGGGGTGGAGGCGCCTGGCACAGGGAGGGGGTAGTCTGCATGCGGGAGGAGGTGCCACTCTGCTCCAGATGGCGTGTCACCCTGACTCCTGAGAGATGACTTCCAGGTCTCAGCCATGGGTCAGGCTCCTGGCCAAGCTGCTGTGCGAGTATCTCATGGGCCCCCCAGTGACTTCAGGAGGCAGCTCTTGTCGGTGTGGTCAAGGGCCCATGCCAGGGCAGGTGCATGAAGCCCCTTCCACCAGCTCCAGGGCTGAGTTTACTGCTGGTGTCTGGGCCGATTCCAGCATTTGCTGGTGCTCAGAATGGGAATGTTCGTGGGGTCAAGAGTGGCAGCTAAGCTGCTAGGGGACATCATAAGGGGACAGTGTGGGGACATCACAGGGGGCAGTGTGGGGCAGCATGGAAGGATGGCTGAGACAGCGTGAGAGCACAGCATGGGGAACTGGAGTGGTAAGGGCATGGGGGAAGAGTGTGGGGACAGGGTGGGAACAATGTGTGGGGATGGCATTGGGACTGCATGGGGTCACACATGTATATGTCTGTGCATATGTGTACATGCATGTGTGAGCATGTGAGTGTTCATGAGTACATGCATGAGAGTGTGTGCATATCTGGGTGTGTGCATACTCATGAGTGTGTACTGCACCTTGTACATGCATCTGTGTACATGGCCACAATACATGTGAGCACACATGTTTGTATGTGTGAGCATGGACATTAATGAGCATGAACACATGCATGTGTGCACAGGTGAGTGTGCCGCACAGTGCACGTGTGTACATGTGCACATGCCCTTGTGTCTGTGTCCATATGTGTGCATGTGTTTGAGCATGCCCTTGTACATTTGTATGTGCTGGTGTGTATCACTTGTGCACTCAGACACAGACCTGTGAGGAGCAGCCGCCCCTCCCTCACTGCTGAGACCATGGTACCAGACTCACATGCCTCTTGTGGCTGGAGGGTTTGCTGTGGGTGAATGTGGCATCTGGGGGTGGGTTTGTCCCTTCTTTTTTTAATTGCATTTATTTAGCTGTACCAGGTCTTCATTGCTGCGTGGACTTTTTTCTCTAGTTGCAGCAAGTGGGGGCTACTCTCTAGTTGTGGAGCATGAGCTTCTCATTGCAGTGGCTTTTCTTGTTGCAGAGTATGGGCTCCAGGGTGCGCGGGCTTCAGTAGTTGCAGTGCACAGCTCAGTAGTTGCAACTCCTGAGCTCTAGAGCACAGGCTCAATAGCTGTGGTGCAAGGGTTAATTGCTCCATGGCATGTGGAATCTTCCCTGATCAGAGATTGAACCCGTGTCTCCTGTATTGGCAGGTAGATTCTTTATCACTGAGCCACCAGGAAAGCCTGGCCCTGCTCTTTTTTAAGGACAATTTTTTAGAAGAGTTCACATAAAAATTGAGCAGAAAGTACAGAGGTTTCCCATATAGTCCCTGCCCTCCGGTCCCCAGGCCTAACTCCCCCATTATCCCTCCCAGAATAGGACATTTTCACAACTGATGAACCTACATCAACACATCACAATTCCCTCAAATTCATAGTTTGCCTTAGGTTTCCCTCTTGGTGTTATACTTTCTGTGGGTTTGGGCAAATACATAATGACATGTATCTACAATTATGAGGCTTCTCAGGTGACTTAGTGGTAAAAGAACCCGCCTGCCAATGTAGGAGACGTAGGTGTGGGTTTGATCCCTGGGTTGGGAAGATCCCCTGGAGAAGGAAATGGCAACCCATTCCAATATTCTTGCTTGGAAAACCCTACAAACAGAGGAGCTTGGTGAGCTACGGTCCACAGGGTCACAAAGAGTCAGACATGACTGAGCTTGCACACTTATCTACAGCTATAGTATCATGCCAAATAGTTTCATTGCCCTAAAAATCCTCCTCAGCCTTGCTACCTCCCAACCCCTGGCAAACACTAATCTTTTTACTCTCTCTGTAGTTTTGCCTTTTCCAGAATGTTGGCATCATGCAGTCTGTAGCCTTTTAAGATTGGCTTTTTTTTATTTAGCAATATGCATGTAAGTTTCTTCCATGTCTTTTCATGGCTTGATAGCTCATTTCATTTTATTGCTGAATAATATTCCATATTCTGGATAAGCCACAGTTTATTTATCCATCCACCTACTGGAGGACATCTTGGTTGCTTCCAAGTTTTGGCAACTAGGAATTATGCTGCTGTGAACATCCATGTGTAGGTTTTTATTTGGGTGTGTTTTCAACTCCTTTGTATAAATATCAAAGGGTAGGTGATGCTGCATCTTATGAAAAGAATCTGTTTTATAAGAAACTACCAACTGTCTTTCAAAGTGGCTGTACTGTTTCATGTCCTCAACAGCATTTAGTGGGTTGGAGCTCCAAATGCTGGTCATTCTAATAGGTATGTGGTGGTATCTCACTGTTGTTTTAATTCCTATTTCTCTGATGACATATGAGGTGGAGCATCTTTTCATGTGCGTATTTGCTGTCTGTGTATATTCTTTGGTGAGTTTCTGTTAAGGTCTGTGGCCCATTTTTTAACCAGGTTGCCTCTTATTGTTGAGTATTAGCAGTCTTGTATCAGGTGTGTTTTTGGCAAATCTTTTCTCCTGTCTGTGGCCTCTCTCCTAGTTCTTGTGACCCACTTTTCCTTTCATCAGCCCTAAGGCATTGAGAAGGCCATTTAGATCCTCTGAACCTGAATATCCTTATTTACAGGGTGGGCATCAAACTAGCAGTTTTGAAATCTTAAATGAGATAAAACTCAAATGAAGAACTTGGTACAGGCATCTGCCATCGTCATTATCATTGTTATTCTGTCATAATTAAGGCCTCTTTGGGATTATTCTTAATCCCTCTCTAAGATGCAGAACTAAACCCCAGATTTGTTCATGGTAGCCTAATTGACATGGAACATTGTTACCTCTGCTACTACCATCACCACCATCACCCCCACCATCACTGCCACCAGTAAGAGTAGCAGCAGCAGCACCACTGCCATCACTACCACCACCACCACCATCACCACCGTCACCACCACCACCACCACTATCACCACCACCATCATCACCGTCACCACCACCATCACCGTCATCACCACCATCACCGTCACCGTCACCATCACTGCCACCAGTAAGAGTAGCAGCAGCAGCACCACTGCCATCACTACCACCACCACCACCATCACCATTACCACTGTCACCACCACCACCATCACCACCACCATCACCCCCACCATCACTGCCACCAGTAAGAGTAGCAGCAGCAGCACCACTGCCATCACTACCACCACCACCACCATCATCACCGTCACTACCACCATCATCGTCACCAGCACCATCACCCCCATCAGTGCCACCAATAAGAGTAGCAGCAGCAGCACCACTGCCATCACCACCACTACCACCACCATCACCACTGTCACCACCACCATCATCACCATCACCACCACCATCACCGTCACCACCACCATCACCCCCACTGCCACCAGTAAGAGTAGCAGCAGCAGCACCACTGCCATCACTACCACCACCACCACCATCATCACTGTCACCACCACCATCATCATCACCACCACCATCACCCCCACCATCACTGCCACCAGTAGGAGTAGCAGCAGCAGCACCACTGCCATCACTACCACCACCACCACCATCACCACCACCACCACCATCATCACCATCACCATCACCGTCACCACCAGCATCACCCCCACCATCACTGCCACCAATAAGAGTAGCAGCAGCAGCACCACTGCCATCACCACCACTACCACCACCATCACCACCACCACCACCACCACTGTCACCACCACCATCACCATCACCACCACCATCACCGTCACCACCACCGTCACCATCACCACCACCATCATCACCACAACCACCACCACCATCACCACCACCATCATCACCACAACCACCATCACCATCATCACCACCATCACCACTACCACCACCACTACCACCATCATCACCACCATCACCAGCACAACCACCATCACCACCACCACCACCATCACTACCACAACCACCACCGTCACCACCATCACCCCCACCATCACTGCCACCACTAAGAGTAGCAGTAACAGCAGCACTATCACCACCATTACCACCATTACCACCACCACTACCACCATCACCACCACCACCATCAGCATCATCACCATTATCACCACCATCTCCACCATCTCTACCACCATAATGAATTAATTCATTCAGCAGATATTAAGCACCCACAATTTCCCCAGCCCTGTGCCAAGTTCTTGGATACAATCAGACCCCATTAGCATCCATCCCCTTCCTGTCACCATCTTCTGTCTTGGTTGCTAAGCAACGGTGAGGCCTGGTTTGGTGTATTCTTACAGATTCTGGAGTCCCTGGAAACCTTTGGTGGTGGAAGGCCAGCATTTTGGTCCAAGAAGGGTCTTGGGGTAGGCTTGAAAGGGAGGAGGACAGGTTCTTTGTCTTACGAATTCTTCCTCTGCTCTTATGCAGGGTCAGGCATATACTCGTCTGCCCACACACCCATCTTTTCCAAGGCAGACCAGTCTTTAGGTTGTGAACTGTTTCAAATACTGTAAGTACTTGACAAACTTGTTAAAATCTTTGCCTCCAGGCTCCATGTCATTGGGCTGGGCCCAGGAGCCTACATTTTGACAGGGGTCAGAGTGGTTGCCCCCTGTGATGGCCAAGAAGAAGGGCCCCTTGCCCTTTGCTGCCAGGTCTCGCAGGCCAAATGAAGCCTTCTTTCCTGTCCTCTCTGCAGACACACCAAGATGAAGACAGCTACCAACATTTACATCTTTAACCTGGCCCTGGCAGATACTTTGGTGCTGCTGACACTGCCCTTCCAGGGCACAGATGTCCTCCTGGGCTTCTGGCCATTTGGGAATGCCCTGTGCAAGACAGTCATTGCCATCGACTATTACAACATGTTCACCAGCACCTTCACGCTGACTGCCATGAGTGTGGACCGCTATGTGGCCATCTGCCACCCCATCCGCGCCCTCGACGTCCGGACATCCAGCAAGGCCCAGGCCGTCAACGTGGCCATCTGGGCCCTGGCCTCCATTGTCGGTGTTCCTGTTGCCATCATGGGCTCAGCACAGGTTGAGGATGAAGGTCAGTGCAGTGGCCTTTCCTCCCCAGCTCCCTGCTGCCCTAGCTCTGGGTGGCTCCCTCCCTGCCCACCTGCCCTGACTCTGCCCTTCTTCCTGCAGAGATCGAGTGTCTGGTGGAGATCCCCACCCCACAGGATTACTGGGGCCCCGTGTTTGCCATCTGCATCTTCCTCTTCTCCTTCATCATCCCCGTGCTCATCATCTCCATCTGCTACAGCCTGATGATCCGGCGGCTTCGTGGCGTCCGCCTGCTCTCAGGTTCCCGGGAGAAGGACCGGAACCTGCGGCGCATCACGCGACTGGTGCTGGTGGTGGTGGCAGTGTTCGTGGGCTGCTGGACGCCTGTCCAGGTCTTCGTGCTGGTCCAAGGGCTGGGTGTCCAGCCGGGTAGTGAGACCGCGGTGGCCATCCTACGTTTCTGCACAGCCCTTGGCTATGTCAACAGTGGCCTCAACCCTATCCTTTATGCCTTCCTGGATGAGAACTTCAAAGCCTGCTTCCGCAAGTTCTGCTGTGCATCAACCCTGCGACGGGAGATGCAGGTGTCTGACCGCGTGCGCAGCATTGCCAAGGACGTGGCTCTCGCCCACAAGACCTCCGAGACGGTGCCGCGGCCAGCATGACTAGGCGTGGACCTGCCCATGGTGCCTGTCAGCCCACAGAGCCCATCCACACCCAACACAGAGCTCACACAGGTCACCGCTCTCTAGGCTGACGCACTGTTACTGTGCATTACCAGCCTCCTTGGGTTGCCCTGTGGCCTCGGAGGATCTGCTGCCATCATGGGACAGGTCAGAGCAGTACGGCCGCCCTCAAAGCCCTGGTCCTACTAGTGCAGGGCAGGGGGCGGATGCATGGACTCAACCAGTGAGACTGCCTGGCCAGAGGTGTGCTGGCATTGTCAAGCCTCATGGACCCTTCTGGTTTCTCCCTCAACATCTTGCTGTGGATGGACACACACCTGGAGGTGTAACTGCAGCTGTACAGACTCATGTGCCCTCATGCTGTGTGCTGTCTGCTAGGAGCCTTGCAGTGTCTCCTCTGGGCAGCCGGACAGGCATGGGACTGCCTGGAGAGTCCAGCGGGCACCCCCAGGCAGTGGGACTTGTTCTGAGAGTGGAACTTCCTTCGGAGGTTTCTCAGCAAGCCTGCTGCCTCCAGAACACACGAACCATTGCACTGCAGACATGGCTGTTCAGGTGTGCACAGTGACCAGGAGGACCACAGCAGGCCTTTGTCATTTGTGGAGCAGCCCCTGTGCCTGGTCTCAGCTGCAGGGAGTGGGGATGGCTCTGCGGTGATCTTTCTAGAGTGCCCGTTCCCCCCTCAGCCTCCCTCTCAGATCCCTCGTTTCAGACTCCATCTGAAGTCAACGGCAGAACCCTCTGCCCTGTCTGTTCTGGTGGCCTTGAAAGGACGGTAGTGGGCCAGGTTCTGCTCTGCATCCCCAGTGACTGACCACTACTTAATTTTCAGGCCTTCAGTTGTCTGGGGGTGGGGGGACCTTCCTGTTGTTACAACCTGTCTTAAGCAGTGCCCAGTCAGAGCACAGCTTCATGTGCAGAGCTGGTAGGAGAGCTGGGGCTTGGAGGGCCCACCTGAGCAAGGCTGCAAGGACTATCTGGGCCGAGGGGACCCTGCCCACTATGGCCACCTAGAGAAGCACCCTTCTGGTCTGCAGATGAAGCCCATAGGTCGGTGACTTGGCAAAGGCTCTTCATGCAGACTGGCTGCTGAAACACCTGCCAACTGAGCTACAGACCTGGCCAGGTGAACCCGAGGCAGAGAGGGGGAGGCGCTGACTCTGGACTGGCCTCTCCTGCTTTGGGGTCCTGGGCCCTGTGGGGTTGTTCCTGGGGAGGGTGGGCCTCTCTGTGCCGCCAGCAGCGGCAGGCTGGGAGGACCAGAGCCACTACAACTGTGGCATTTTCTCGCCAGCGCTGAAAGATGTGTCAGTCTATGCCTGTGTGACGTCTCTCCGTGTATCTGTGCATGCTGAGAGTGTGATTTCCCCTGCATGTAAACTGCCCTGAACTGTCTCCAGGGTCATGACAGAGGGTCAGAATAAACCCCTGCATGCTGGTCAGAGCACTCTGCCCACAAGGTGTTTCTGACCCTGTGGGGGGTTTTGGGAGTAGCTTTTTTGGGGTTGGGGCATGAGATGCCAACTTGCTCTTCACTTGCCCAGGTTGTGTGTGTGACAACGGTCTTCCTGGGAGGCCTCCACTCTGGGAAGTGGTCGAATAATTTATGATGTGCTGGGACCTGTCTCCTTTGCTTCAGCACAGAGTTTCTCCCCAAACAAGCACTGACTCTGTGCTCCTGCAGCCAGTGCGGTTCCTGTGGATCGAGTTGGTGGGTGGTCCCCCACAGGGGGCCGGGTTCTCTTCACCAGCATTTAGTCTCAGCAGACCCCCACCTCACTCTCGCCACTTCCCCTTTCCTCAGGTGGCTCCAAGGTAGTTTGATGACAGACGGACAGCACTGCTCCTTTGGTGGCCTTGAAATTCAGAGATCCTCCTGGTCCCTGCAATGGCCCAGTTCCACGCGGGCTAACCCTTGGGCAGAAAACCCTGTCAGAGACAGGGCCGGATGGCAGTGCTTGGACACGGGCAGAGGGGCCAATGTCCGGTTTTAGTATGTTTTAATGACAAGCAAATTGCGGGTAACACAAAATTTTAGCAATAAAGTTTAGGAGGGAGGAGCTACTCGGTGGGCGTTAGCTAGGGGGCACTTAGGTTGCGGCGGAGGCGGCGGCTCCGGGTGGGCTCCTGGAAGCTGCGCTGATCTTGCCTACTAGGCCCACGCCACGTCTGCGCTCGTCCCAGTCCTGGGGCGCTGAGGGGCCGGCCAGGAGCCCAAGGGACCTCGGAAGGGGGGGGGGGTCTGGCTCGCTCTCTCTCCCCACCAGCACCCCGACCTCACCTCGGTTCCCCCGCCTTCCTCCAGCCCCACCCCCACTCCCAACCTCCCCCAGTCTGCATCCGCACCTCCGCACGGTCCCTGCCCTGCCCCCACCAGCTGGGCACGGTCAGTCCCCCGTCTTCTGCAAGCCTCGGTTTCCTTGCCTGCACAGAAGGGACCGCAATCCTCCTCACGGGGTTGTCGGGGAAGGCGGGACTGGGGAAGGGTCAGCCGATGGGCTGGACGCGGGAAGCTGCGGGCTCACCTGGCGCTCCGGACTTTGACCACCAGGGGCGCTGTGGCCCGCGGAGACTCCACCCACGGGCCCTGCCGGGCGGTGCTGTGCCGGGTCCCAGCAGTGGGGGAGTGTGGGGGATGTCTGGGGACTGGGGGAGGGGACCTATGGGATCAGGAGCCCAGAGCGTGGGGACACCCTCTCCCCGCTCCCCAGCCCGTCTCTAGCTTCAGCGTGGAGGGGGGGCGGCATTTTCCCCGGGGGTCTGTAATTCATTCTCCCCTCCCTCCCTCTTGGTTGGCTCCCCTACGCTGGGTGTCTGGCGTGAAGACCCTCCCTCCCATCGTCTGGGCGGGGCCTGTGGACCGCCTGGCCGGCCGATCTGCCCGCCTCGGCTGTGGGAGTGGGGGGGCCACCTCGGGGAACTAAGAGTGTGGGGTCCGCTGAGGCGGCTTGGTTGCTCCCCCCCCCCTAGCCCGCCCCCGCCCTCCGCGTTCCCGCTGAGCGCATTTACACCTTGCTGCGCCGGTGGGGTCTCAGCTCGGGTGTGGGAGTCTCAGTTCTCCTCTCAAGGAGCTCACCGGGCGCAGGATGAGCGCAAACGAGGTAATTACGGCTGCTGCTTGGAGAGGTGTGACTGAGACGCTGTGAGGAAGCCGGTCTTCTGGGGAACGGCTGGTTCTTCTTGGAGAGGCTGGAGAAGGTCACAGCCCCAAGTGTGTGTCGGGGGGCGGGGGGGACTTGCGGACTCGCTTCTAAGGAGCAGAAAGTAGCGGAGTGGCTTCCTAGATAGGCCTTGATGGTGTGGAGGATCCCCCCTGGCTGTCTCTCCGATGCTGCCCTGGAGACCCACCTGGTGCCATGTTTGGGAGATGCCCGAGCTACCTGTGGACAGTCCACCTGGCCAGGAAGTGAGGCCTCTTGCCAGTGGCCTGTGAGGAAGCCGCTTCTCCAGCCGCAGTTCAGCCTTCTGGTGAATGGGTCCTCAGCTGAAGTCCTGCCTGAAATCCCAGGAGAGACCTTGAACTGGAACCCGCTGAGAGCTGCCCTGGGGTTCCTGACCCACATTCTTTGTGAGCAAGCAGAGTTGCTCTGAGCTACTAGTTTGGGGGGAAATTTTGTCATCAAGCAGTAGCTTGCTAATATGATGTGGTCGGGAAGATGAGAGGATGGAGGTAGCCGCTGACCTGTTTCAGGCTGGTGGGGGGTGGTGTGCCTGAGCTGTTCCATGTGCCTGGGTTGGGGAAGGTGGCTACGCACCCTGGTAGCCGCCTCATGGGGTGTTGAAAGGTGGGTCCTGCTTGCCAGCTGGACAGACTGGCCAGAGCCATGTCCTAAGGACCAAAGCCAACCTGAGGCCATACAAGAACCCAGGTTACTGGGTTCCAGGCAGGCAACTCACGGAATGGTAAAGCTGGAGCCCCAGGCGTGGGAGCACCTGGGGGCTTTGGGGCCAAGAGTGGGGGTCTTGGCCAAGGTCCACCAAGGCTGTCTTCAGAGACCTGCCCTTGTCCCCCTCCCCAGTGGCAGAAATGGTCTCTGAGCAGCCAGTCCATCAGTGTTCCACTCCATCCCCAGACTCAGCACAAGTCTGGCCCTCAGGCCACATGTCAGAGAGGAGAGTCCAAGTGCCAGCCCTTCTAGGTTACAGATGCCCCCTGTTATTGGTGGGGTCCAGAAGTCCTGGCAGAAGAGCCTTGGGTCCCATAGCAGGACAGGAGGGGGTCACAGTCAATGGTGCGAAAAGCACAAGGGGCATGGGGTGCTTGGGGGGCCCTGAACCCTGATCTGGGAGCCAGAAAGGGATGCAGCACAGGCCTCATGGTGGAATGTCACTTGGGTTTTGGGCTGTGAGAGCTTCGTGGCCTCCTTCGATGTGTGTCTTTGGCTTCTGCAGCAACCCCTGGCTTTAGAAAAGACCCTGATGCTAGGAAAGATTCAAGGCAGGAGGAGAAGGGGATGACAGAGGATAAGCTGGTTGGATGGCATCACCGACTCAATGGACATGACTTTGAGCAAGCTCCAGGAGATGGTGAAGGACAGGGAAGCCTGGCATGCTGCAGTCCATGGGGTCTCAAAGAGTTGGACATGACTGAGCAACAACAACAGGTTGAACAACAACCTAGCTTTGTTGCTTGAGGTGTCCCCCAGGATATCTGTTGTGCCAGGATCATCTCCTGGGGTAGGCAGGGTGGGGGGAGGGTTTCGGTCAGACCCGAATTCCCACAGTTGACTGCCCAGGGGCTGTCCAGGGGGCAAAGTCACAGGTCTAGAAGGTCCATGGCCATCTCTGCAGGCTCAGTGGCCAGCCTTCATGGGTGTTACTCTCTCTGTCTGGAGGAAATAGTGATGGGAGGTGAACAGTGGAATGGTCCTTGAAAGGCACGGAACCTTTCTACTGTCTGCAGGCCATGAGGGGAGGTGCTTATGCTCCCTGGCACCGAAATGCGGTGCGGAGGCTCTTCCGGAAGCTGTGATCTAGGAAGGCATAGAGGAAGGGGTTGAGGCAGGAGCTGGTGTAGCTGAGGCTGGTGACCACGTAGGAGACGACGATGACCAGCGGCGTCTGGGGCAGGTCTGTGGTCAGGGCCACAACTGAGGCCAGGTGGAAGGGTGTCCAGCAGAGCAGGCCCACGGCCAGCACAGCCAGGACCAGGAGGCTAACCTTCCGCTTGGCCTTGCCCAGAGCCTTGGCTCCTGAGTGGAGCCGCAGGGCCCGCAGCCTCCGCAGCAGGTCTGCGTAGAGCACGCAGAGGGTGCACATGGGCACCACGAAGCCCAGCACCAGCGTGTAGATGCGGCTCGCCTGGAACCAGGCCCTCTCGGGCCGTGGGAAACTCAGCCCACAGCTCGTGACCTCCAGCTCATTGTTGTACACGCCTGCGAAGGTGAGGAAGGGCAGCACTGCGACCGTGACACCCAGCCAGACGCACAGGCTGGCGACCTTCGCCCTGCGGATGGTGCGCCGGGGCATGCGGCGGGAGCGTGCCGTGGCCAGGACCACCAGGTAGCGGTCTATACTCATGGCGGCCAGGAAGTAGACGCTGGAGAAGATGTTGCAGTGGTCAATGGCCAGCACCAGCTTGCAGAGCACCTCCCCAAAGGGCCAGCGCTGCAGCAGGTGCTCAGCAATATTGGTGGGCAGCACCAGCGTGAAGAGCCCGTCGGCGATGGCCAGGTTCAGGATGAACACATGGGTCACTGTCTTCATCTTGGGCGCCCTCAGGATCACACAGATGACGGCTGCATTGCCCACCAGCCCCACGGCACAGATGACAGAGTATACCACCGGCAGCAGCACATAGAGGGCAGGCAGCGGCTCGGGGAAGGTGACATTGTGTCTGGTACCATTGTCCCATGAGAGGCTGGTGCCTGTGCTATCTGGGCAGGGGGAGCCTGTGCTTTCCAGGCCCTCCAGCCCGGTGGCCTCCATCGTGGGGCAGGGCTGTAATGATTTGTGCCCTGGAAGGTGGGAGGTGCTTCCAAGCTGGGGTTCTGGGCACCGGCCTCCTTGGGCTGGATCTTGAGAAAGAAAGAACCAGAATCTCTGGGACCTGACTGTCAGCTGAGAACAACAGGTGCCTCAAGTTTTCTGGCCAAGGCTGTGGCCCCTTTGCCAGGTCATGGGGGTCTCTCTCCACCCTGTCCAGTGGCCTCAGAGAGCCTGGGTGGATGCTAGGGGTGCCTCCTCCTGGGCAGCGCTTCTAACTGATCAAGCTCCCTCCCCAAGCCCCTTCCCTGTTGCAGAAAGCAGCTGCTGACAACCCTTCTGGGAAGGGTGGTCTCTGATCTGCCCCTACCCAGGCCCCTGCTGACCTCATCCCTCAGAA